CACCCGCCCAGGGACCCGGCTCGCCACCCTTCGGTGGGTGAAGCAGGGAGCCTTCCAGGGCCGAGGCGGGTGGTAACGGTGCCTGGTCTCCTATCTTGTTACCCACGTCTGCCCGGTGTCGGTGGTAGATTTAAAAGCAGGTGTTGGTCAAAGTGCGCACATAAAATCCCAGCTCTCCCAGGGTACCGTCACCTCGGCATTCATGCACGTGTAAGTCACTGTAGGAGCATATAAAAGTCACAGTAAGCGCCGCCTCCCCTTGCGCATAATTGGCTATCTTTCCTTAAATCTCGTGGTTTTATAAACATACGTAATGTTTATAAATCAAACCTAAAAGGGGTCATTGATGTTTCTGTCTCGATCCCTCTCCCTTCCTCTCTGAAATCAATAAAAATATATTTTAAAAAAAGGGGTCATTGCGTTTGAAATGTTCTGAAACTTTGTTTTTTTTCCCCTTGGACATTTTTACACCTTAGCATATATTTTTTTTCCCTGTTGGTGGCTACATAATATTTCATTATCTGAATCCTGCTGTTTTTTAAATTCTCACCTGAGGATATTTTTATTTTAAATATTAAAAAAAATTGATTTCAGAGATGGAGAGGAATTGAGAAAAACATTGATGAGAAAGAACATAGATCAGCTGCCTCCTGCACATTCCCTACTGGGGATCAGCCTGCAATCCGGTATGTGCCCTGCCCAGGAATCAAACCGAGGTCTCCTGGGTGCATTGGTCCACGCTCAACCACTGAGCCACACCAGCTGGGCTTTCTAAAAAAAATTTTTAGAGAGGAAGGGAGAGAGAAACATTGATGTGAAAGAGGAACATCTATCAGTTGCCTCCTGTAGGTGACTACTGTATAAATTTATATACACACATTTATTTATTTTTTTAAAGGAACTGTTGCCCTAACTGGTTTGGCTCAGTGGATTGAGCGCTGGCCTGCGGACTGAAAGGTCCCAGTTTCGATTCCAGTCAAGGGCATGTACCTTGGTTGCGGGCACATCCCCAGTAGGAGGTGTGCAGGAGGCAGCTGATCGATGTTTCTCTCTCATAGATGTTCCTAACTCTCTATCCCTCTCCCTTTCTCCCTGTAAAAAATCAATAAAATATATTTCAAAAAAAAAAGAAACTGTTTTAGAGGGACCAGTAAAATGTGCATTCCATTACTGCACAAGGGATCATGATTTAGCTCTCAGTATAAAAGTTCTATAACTAAAAACACTTTAGAGAAGTGGTTTACCAAATAATATGTTTGTCTATTTAAATCTTTAAAGGTACCAAGAACAGTGATTATCATACATTGGGAGAAAAAGCAAAGGAAGTGCTTTTTATTTTCGACTGGGCACCTAAACAGAAACTGCAGTTGTAGTATGAAGAAGGGTAGAGGAAGAACAAGCCGGATCAGAAGACGGAAACTCTGCAGAAGTTCTCCATCAAGGGGAGGTACAGTGTTTACTTGTTTTGGTGCCAGTGATATAAAAAGAATCTTGTTGCTTGATATTAACAGGTGCATATAGCTTTTCTCAAGGGCACATGGGCAATGTTCACAGAGAATATTTCTTAAATAATTCTCTTTGTAATTGTGCCATTGTATTCTTTTTAACCCTTGTGGGAATATAAACATATTTCTCATTCCTTCAACTGTGTCTTTTCTGGGGATGACTCCCAGGTTTCTGTTTCTAGCCCTGCCCTCTCTCCTGTCCTCTAATTACCTGCAAGGTATCAATGTTTGGTTATAAACTCCTCATTTTGAGTTCACTGTAACCCAGTTTGAAGACAGGCTGCATGTGAAAGTGCCTGGCCAACTGGGAGGCACCACATTGATAACGGTCAATTTTACCAGTTGCTTCTCCTGCCTCTTTGAGACGATCATATGTTTTTTCTTTTTAGTTTACATTATTTGTACATTTTAAAATTCATTTCTTTTTGTAATAACACTGAGACAATTCATCAGAGGTTTTCTTTTTAAATGGTAGTCTGATTTTATAGTGATCTTAATCACCATTTTTTCCTCCATTGATTAGTGAATGAGAGCTACAAGCCTGAATTTATAGCGCTTAAGAAGTGGTTGAAAGCTAGGAAGTTTGAAGATACAAATTTAATACCTGCTTGCTTTCCAGGTGAGTCTGGCTTTCAGTTCTCATGACCTTTGTCACAGGAGACATGGGCACAGGTGACAGGAAAGCAGGGGTGAACCTTGCTGTATTATCTTGGGGAGCGTATCTCCTATTATGTCAGGCTTCCTGCCTTGTAGCTGTAAATTCTCTTTTAAAAAATATATTTTTATTGATTTCAGAGAGGAAGGGAGAAGGAGAGATAGAGAGAAACATCAGTGATAAGAAAGAATCATTGATCGACTGCCGCCTTCATGCCCCACCCTGGGGGTTGAGCCCACAACCCAGGCATGTGCCCTGACCAGGAATCAAACCCTGACCTCCTGGTTCATAGGTCGACGCCCAACCACTGAGCCATGCTGGCCAGGCTGTAGCTGTAATATTTGGGAAGTTGGATTAACATGCTTTACCTTGTTCTAGAAGCAAATGAAGTGGCTTGTGGGAAGAAATGCCGAAATGGTGAAATAAAATTCAAAATTACAAAAGGGGGATGAGAATAGAAAAATAAGGCGAAGGCAGGAATAAGGATAATCCATAAAAATTGCGGTTATAAAATCTTGCACCCTCTCGGAGGCGAGCCACCAATCTGATGTTCCTTTCCAGCAGTGTAGACAAATATGGCCAGCCACCAATCTGATGTTCCTTTCCAGCCGTGTAGACAGGTTATATGGCCAGCCACCAATCTGATGTTCCTTTCCAGCTGTGTAGACAGGTTATATGGCCTGTGACCAATCTGATGTTCCTTTCCAGCAGTGTAGACAGGTTATATGGCCAGTGACCCGAGTCTTAGTGTTATTGTCCATCAGCAGAAGCGCAGACGTTCCTGGAACTTAGTCTGTAATAAGCTTTACTTTCATACGGTCCTGGTGGCCACTTCCCGCCTCGCCTTAGTAAGTGTAGCTTGCTGGGCTCTGTTTTCTGAACTTGAACACTATGTTGTAGAAATACCGGTAAAGCATCTTCCAGGTTTATCCCGTATGCCAAGTTCTGTTCATATACAGGGGTGGATGGAAGTCGGTTTACAGTTGTGAGTACTCAAAACACAGAGTTTATTCTTGTAATGCATTAATTATTGTATTACTTATTTGTATTTCAACTGTAAGCCTACTTCTGCCTACCCCTGTATCTGGTTGGAGATACATTTCCGCTTAAATTATCATACAATTCTAAAGGAGACCCCAGCGGAGGAGGTCAGCTGAAGGGTTCCTGAGAGACCCGGAAGCAGATCTGTAGAAGGTGCCTGGTCTGTAGGTCTTGATTCTGAAGCTCACTTTGCCCTTCGAGGATTACAAACCCAAGGGGAGGTCAGCACATTTACATTTTCCAGAGCAGCTTCTTGATCCTCCGGGACTCAGGGTACAAGACACCCGGCTTTGAAGTTCATTCACATCTTCTATTCAGAGTGTCTCTGAGGCCTGGAAGCTGCAGTAGATTCACCCTTTCCTGTCTTTGCGTTCCTAGATACCGGGAGAGGGCTGATGAGCAAAACGTCCCTGCAGGTGAGCATCTCTCTTGTCCTTGAGACCCAGTGCAGATGTTGTTGCTTTGTTTTTGTGGGTTAAACCAAGTGGATTAAAAATATGCTCAGCATACAGGCATGTTTTACTTACAGATAAGTTTCAGTAGAACTCTGCCAGTCAGAGTTGCTTGCCGCATACCGGAGACAAACCCAAGGTGCAGGGCTTGCACAGAGCAGCTTATTGTGCTGTCACATGAACACGCCTGGGTAGGTGACCTGGCTGGTGTGGCGTCCCGTGGCCGTCAGAGGCCCAGGACTTAGCCGCTCTCTACCCACGTCCTTAGAGGGAGCTGCCACCCTCAGGTCCAGCGTGTAGCTCCTGGGGCTGGAGCAGCAGGACCCAGCAAGGGGTGAGCAAGGGCAGCTTCTCCCGTCCAGGAAAGGGGACCCACGAACCAGCCTCCTCTCCGTGGCCAGCGACCAGGTGCGCAGCCCCAGCGGCGGGAGGCGACACCTGTCCGTAGTGCCCTTCGGGGGGTGGGGGTGGTGAGGAGGAGAGAGGCTGTTGGGGAGGCAGCCAGCAGACTGCCACAGCGGATTTTATAAACCAGATCATGTGCTAACCGTGCACGGGAGGGAGCCGCTCTCATCTGAGAGACTGCATAGCAGAGGAGGTAGAACCGAGCGAGCAGAGGGAGGAGGCCTCGGGGCCTGTCCCAGGCGCCAGCCTGCTGTGGCACCGGAGGGACAAGGCTCCGGACCCTGTGGGCTTCCGTCTCCTCCCCTGGAAAACAAGGAGGTGAATGGCATGGTGATCTGATCTCCGAGGTCCATTTATGCCATTTAAAGGACAGAATACAGTTTTCTGTAAAGCTACCAGTTAATTCCTTAATTTATTTTTATTTAAAATTATTTTAATTTCTTAATTTAATTTATATAAACCCAGCCTTGTACATACTAGTATGTTTAGCGTAAAGAATGGTAACCTTTAGTGTTGTAATTCTATTATGCTGTTTTAATTTTTAAATTACTTTATAATTTTTAGTTGTGGCAAAATATATACTAGTATAAAATAAAACTTACCATCTTAACCACTTTAACTGTGCAGCTTATTAGCATTAAGTACATGTACATTGCTGTGTAATGTTTTTGTTTTTTGAACAGAGGTGTAATTGACCTCATTCTGTAGCAGCATTTGGAGAGGAGACATATACCTCTCATGCATATAGCAGTGACTGTAGGTTATTTTTTTAAATAGGTTTTTATTTATTTTAAAGAGAGAGGAAGGGAGAGGGAGAAAGATAGAAACATTGATGAGAGAGAAACATGGCATGGATGAGAGAGAAACATGGATCGGCTGCCTCCTGCACACCCCTACTGGGGTTTGAGCCTGCAACCTGGGCATGTGCCCTGACCAGGAATCAAACCTTGACCTCCTAGTAGTTCATAGGTCGATGCTCAACCATGGAGCCACACTGGCTGGGCTGCCCAGCTTTTAAGTGTTCAGTTTGATGAGTTTTGATGATGAAGAGATTTACCCCAAGGACCATATAGACCATTTTATCAAGTGGCTTAAAAAAAAATCCTCACCTGAGAATATGTTTTTATTGATTAGAGAGAGAGAGAGAGAGAGAGAGAGAGAGAGAGAGAGATCCACATGAGAGAGAAACATTGGTAGGTTGTCTCCCTTACCCGCCCTGAGTGGAGATCAAGCCTGAAACCTAGGTATGTACCCTGACCGGGAATCGAGCCGCAACCTTTTGTTGTACAGGACGATTCTCTAACCAACTGAGCCACCGGGTGGATTTTTTAAAAACCATAAAGTCATGGATGTCGGGGCAGGAAGAGGTGATAGTGGTGATCTAGTCTAATCTCGATTTACAGATGAGGCAACTGGCAGTGGCACCCAGCTGATTTTGGGCTGAAATTCGTAACTGAGATGCCAGTTACAACGACAGCAGGACCTTACGCCTGGCTTGTTGGCGACTTACTTGTTTCTGGGGTCCGTTACTTGCATCTTAATTTTCCTTTCTCTGGTTCCGTCTCTGTGTGAAGAGCTGTACTTCTGCAGGTGCTAAGACGAGCCCCTTGTGCTGGTGGGCTGCCCTTGCTTTAGCTAGTGGACACAGGCTAGAGGGAGGGTGGGCCATTTCTAGGACAGCCGCTGGATACATGGGGTTGCACCAGATGGGTTTTTGTGTGTGAGTGTGTGGGGTTCTGTCTGTTTCCTGAAGGTAGCACAATTTCCTGGCCTAAGAAAGTGAAGGAACAATTTGATTTGAGTTGTCAGTGTTTCCACTTTCCTTTCTGGTGAAAGGTTGACAGTCACATAATTGACCTTTAATTCCTGTTGTGGTCATAGTACCTGCGCTGGAGCGGCCTTGCCTACATCCGCTGACTCAGGCTTGGCAGTTAGTCGGTGGTGGTCTCTGTGGTTGGGTTCTTCTGGGTTCTTAGTAGATGAAACCGAGGACTTGAAAAGACGTGTACTCACAGACCCTTCCCAAAGCACGGGCATTCTAAACTCTGCTTTCTTTTTCGGGAAGGAGGGACAGGTGATTATTTCGTTGCCTGAGAGTTGCCTGCTCACCACGGACACAGTGATTAGGAGCTACTTAGGGGCGTACATTGCTAAGTAAGTGACCGCACACATGCTACCTGGGCACCGCTTCTCCTTAAAGTCTGTACCATCGGCAGGTATGTCACCTGAGGCAGAGTTCAGGAGGACCCAGCCCCTTGCATAGCCGATACCTGCAATGGTGCAACAGGGCTACTCTGGTCTGTGAAGTTTGTTTTAATTCATGGCAAACTGGGAGGTGGGTTTGAGTCCTGATCTATCCCAGAAACTGCAGATGAAATGGGATAATGAAGTCAGGGCTGAGCGCCTTGCTCACAGTAGCTTGTTCTCCATCGTAGTGGAGCGTGACAGATGTCAATTTCTTTTATTTTTACCCTCATTGTACTTGCTTGAATTTTCTTTCAACTCTGAAGAGCTGTTGACATTAGGAAAGAGTTAGTCTTATTTAGCATAGGAGAGAGGGGGCCAGCCTTGAAGGGGAGAACTAATTTCCAGCTCATGTTATCCTGGGCCTCTGTTCGGGGCCCTGTCTGAGGACAGTGCGTGAGAGCCTCAGCAGAAGGGCTTCTAAATTATGAGGTTTGAAAGATTGAATTGTGTCTTAACCCGGGGTAAATTCTGAATGTGTCCCCCCCCCCTAGCTTTTTAAAAAGTTAATGTATTTTTATTGATTTCAGAGAGGAAGGGAGAGGGAGAGGTAGATAGAAACATCAGTGATGAGTCATCAATCCGCTGCCTTCAGCACGCCCCCTACTGGGGATTGAGCCTGCAACCGGGGCATGTGTCCTGCCTGGAATTGAACCTACGTCTTGGTTCATAGATCGACACTCAACCACTGAGCCGCACTGGCTGGGCCCCACTTGCTTTCGTAAGAGGACTGATATATCTTTATTGGTGTGAGTGGAGGCAAGGATGCTCTTAGTATTAATGTTTTCCATATCGTTCTGAAATTTTGAGTAGAATGTATGGTAATATAGGAATCTAGACGTTGAAGGATTAATGTAAACTTTCCTTAATACATTCATGCAGCATGAGATTTTTTACTGTGAACAGATAAAAATACTGCAATGTATAATTTGCAATAGCGATGGTAATTTAGGATTAAAATAGAAATGCCTGCATGTACCAGTGGATGTACTAGGTTCTTTCCATTGGTTTCCCCCACCAAGTGCTCTAGTTATCCCAGTGAAACCAGTGGACTGCCAGCGAAAGCTTAAAGCTGGACAACCAAGTTGGAAGCAGAGAGGGCATTTGCAGAAAGGAATCTTGCGAACAAAGCTGGGACTCGGGTGGTGAGTCAGCTCTTGTGTGGCGTGACCTGCTCAGAGCACTTGTGTTGGGTGCTCTCTGGAGAGGAAGCTTTGAGGAAGGAAGACCCTCCCACGGGCCATGAAATAAGCTGGGCAAGTGCTGACTGCCCCGCCCCTCTGGGAGCAGAACTAACCACTAGAGCAGTGGTTCTCAACCTTCTGGCCCTTTCAATACAGTTCCTCATGTTGTGACCCAACCATAAAATTATTTTCGTTGCTACTTCATAACTGTAATGTTGCTACTGTTATGAATCGTCACGTAAATATCTGATACACAGGAAGGTCTTAGGCGACCCCTGTGAAAGGGTCGTTGGACCCCCAAAGGGGTCGCGACCCACAGGTTGAGAACCGCTGCACTAGAGTGTCTGTATCTTCCAATAAGAGTAACTTCTTTACTCTGGCTTTTAATTTGAAAAGGTGGCAGCCTCCCCCGTCTCCTCTGCTGGCTCTGTGCACCTTTCTAGTTGCAGAAAAGCATGCTGGGGACCAGTCCCCCTGGAAGCCCTACCTGGAGGTTTTACCGAAGGCCTACACCTGCCCTGTGTGTTTGGAGCCGGAAGTGGTGGCTCTTCTTCCCAGACCTTTGGAAGCGAAGGCCAGAGAGCAGAGGGCGCGTGTGCGCGAGCTGTTCACTTCCTCCCGAGGCTTCTTCTCCTCCCTGCAGCCTCTGCTCTCTGAGGCTGCGGCGAGCGTCTTCAGCTACAGGGCCTTCCTGTGGGCCTGGTGCACGGTCAACACCAGAGCCGTGTACATGAAGCGGGGCCGGAGGCAGGGCCTGTCCGCGGAGCCAGACACCTGTGCGCTCGCCCCGTACCTGGATCTGCTGAACCACAGCCCGGCCGTCCAGGTGAGAGGCTGCCAAGGGGACACCCGTTCTGTTTCCACAGGGAGGACAGCGACTTTAGAACCTGTGTCCTAGAATAGGGAGTGGGCCCCCAGGGAAGGTGTGCCGGCTCTAGGTGACTGCCTGCCGCCAGGGGTCTCCTGTCTGCTCCCGACCCCATGTCCCTCCAGGCCCGCAGAGCCCAGTGCTATTACCCCCGCTTCCCCGCCGCAGGTCTTAACCCGCAGCCTCCCCTCCCTCGCCCACCTGGCCCACCTGTGGTGCACGGTCTTCCTCCTTCCAGAACTGGCCCAGGAGTCTGGTTTGCGTTTCTGTCCCGACCCCTTTTATACTTGGGGGCATTGCTGTCCGCTTTGATCTTTGCTGTGATCTCTGGTTAATGTACTGCCCCCCTCTCTGAGCTCTGCAGTCTTAGAGGACGGGACTTTGCTTTGTTCCTCTTTGTAATCCCAGTGCTCAGCGCAGGGCCTGGCATGTAGTAGGCCTTCAATAAACCTTTATTAAAAAAACACACAAAACAAGCAAACAAAACTTTATGGAGTGGGGAAAGGAGTCCGGAAGTCATTGGAGAACCTTGCTGTGGGAGAGTCAGATCCCTTGCCCTCTGCCCTCTCCCCTGTGGCACAGGAAGGAGACGGTTCTGTCTGCAGGGCCTGCTGGGGAAGGGCCTGCCTGAGGGCAGAGGTGTCTGTAATCAGCTCACCCACAGCCAACCCTCCCAGGGTCCACTTGCAGGCACACTGGCTGGGACCCCAGCTCGCTGTCCTCTTCACACCCGGCTGCCTGGGGAAGACCCGTGCCACCCGAGTGCAGGGCCTGCTGGGGAAGGGCCTGCCTGAGGGCAGAGGTGTCTGTAATCAGCTCACCCACAGCCAACCCTCCCAGGGTCAACTTGCAGGCACACTGGCTGGGACCCCTGCTCGCTGTCCTCTTCACACCCGGCCGCCTGGGGAAGACCTGTGCCACCCGGTTAGCCACCTGGTTCGCCCACTGCCATTGGGAGGGAGCATGAGGAGGCCCTGCCATGCCTCCCAGGCCAGGACACTCCTTGCCTGTGTGCTTGTCACTTCCTTAGGAGGATGCGTTTCTGACAACACTGAGTGGGGGGGCCAAGCCTGGAAGGGTGTCTGGTTGATGTTGATGAAATGAGTGGGGCCGTAGTACAATAGGATGCTGGACACAGGGACTCTGCCCCATTGGGGTGGCTTTATTTTACTGGGCTGTTAATGCATTTACGCCCCCAGGACCAGTGATTTTACAGTTGAGTGTGGGTACCGCCTTCAGCCGGGGGCATGTGGCTCAGGGCCCTGGTGGGCTGAACATTTCCTCTCTGGCCCTCTATGGAAGAAGTTGCTGGCCGGGTCTGCGTTGCAGCTGGCTTTTGGCATGAGACTCCAAACCATGGCCTTAATCTATTGTTGATGCTGCCAGGTGGGAATTTCAGCCTGCTCCTCCTCCTCGCCTCCTGGGGCTCGCTGGGCTTGCTGCTAAGGAAGGGGCCTCAGTGCCTGCACCCACTCCTTTCTGTGGGGAGCAGGTAGGTCTTCTTGTTCTTTTCCTCTCTACCCATCAGCTCACAAAACCGTCACAAAATCCATACGACAGTGTCAGCCAGTGTCATGCTCAAAGGCCTTATTGTAAGACCTGAAATTCCGCGTGAACCTCGACACCTTTGGGCTCACGGGGCCCCAGAGGCCTGGCGGGCAGCTCCTCTGCTCGCACCGCGTAGTCCCCGGCCTGGTGCGGAAGGCTTCCCGGCTGGTTGCTCTGTCAGCCAGACTAGCTGCCCCCCACCTGGTCCTCACCCTAACAGGTTCACCTCCCCGCCAGCCCTGGAAGTTATTCCAACAAGTAACTCACATCTTCCCCGGGGAACCAGTGACCTCTTGTTACTACAAAGCCTGCTTCCTGTGGCCCCTGCTGGTGGCTGCCCGCGGACGAGTACAGCCTGGGGGCCGGCCGCCTGTCCGCCCCCCTCCTCCCTCCTCCCTCCTCCCCCTCCTCCCTCCCCGGGCTGTCTGTGTGACATATCCATTGTCAGGTGTTATCCATTGTCAAGTGTTTGCCATCCCCAGGGCCCAGGGGTGGGCCTCCCTCGCCAGTGGGGCGAATGGAGGCGAACTAGGGGCTGCCCTGGGAACCTTCATCGATCCCACGTGCGGTTACATTCAGCGATGAGTGTTTCAAAGGGGCATCGGGCTTAAATAAACATAATAACTTAGTCGTTTTAGTTTTGGGTTTTGCTTTAAAAAACTAACGATTTTCCTTTCTAGGTGAAAGCAGCATTTAATGAGGAAACCCGCTGTTATGAAATCAGGACGGGCTCGGGCTGCAGACGGCACGAGGAGGTGTTCATCTGCTACGGCCCCCACGACAGCCGGCGGCTGCTGCTGGAGTACGGGTTTGTTCCCTGCGGGAACCCCCACGCGTGTGTCCCCGTCTCACAAGGTCGGATGAACTTCGGTTCCTATCACTAAGATGGTATACACTTCCCCATCTGGGGGTGAGGTTCTTTTAAGTTTTAATAAAAATGGCAATCCTTTTTTTTCCTTCTAAATATTTTTATTGATATCAGAGAGGAAGGGAGAGGGAGAGAGATAGAAACATCAGTGATGAGAGAGAGTCACTGATTGGCTGCCTCCTGCACGCCCCCCAGTGGGGATCGAGCCCGAAACCCAGGCATGTGCCCTGACAGGGAATTGAACTGTGACCTCCTGGTTCATAGGTTGACACTCAACCACTGAGCCATGCCGGCTGGGCAGCAATCCTTAAAATGTATGTTGTTTATTTTCTCCGAGGTAGGGCTCTGGCTCGCCTCACTCTGGCTGACCATGTAATTGCGATAATGAAGTAAAAACAACGAAGCTTTGACCGACATTGAGGATGAGAAGAGCGGAGAAGAGTTTATTGTGTTCGGTCAGACAGGAATGGAGGACCGTAAAAACAACGAAGCTTTGACCGACATTGAGGATGAGAGGAGCCGAGACAGGAATGGAGGACCAGGAAGCGTGCTAAGGAAATGCATATTTAATAGATGGAAAGAAATGGAGATCTCTGTACTGAGACGTTTCACTGTTACTAAAGATGGAACAGGATTAGAAAGCCACACATATAAACATTCAGCACTGCTGTGTGTGAAGCACTGCTTACCACGGAGAGACGTATGGCAGTCCTTGTTCCGGGGCGCGGTGCGTGATGAAGTCCTGGGTTACGCTCTTTTGTGGCCATTAAGTAGCCCTCATCCTTGGTGTTACTCTTTCTAAGATCAGGATTTAGCTAGTAAATTTATGCTGTGGCCCAGCTGGCGTGGCTCAGTGGTTGAGCGTTGACCGACCTATATGAACCAGGAGGTCACCGTTCAATTTCCGGTTAGGGAACATGCCTGGGTTGCGGGCTCTAAGATGGTATACACTTCCCCATCTGGGGGTGAGGTTCTTTTAAGTTTTAATAAAAATGGCAATCCTTTTTTTTCCTTCTAAATATTTTTATTGATATCAGAGAGGAAGGGAGAGGGAGAGAGATAGAAACATCAGTGATGAGAGAGAGTCACTGATTGGCTGCCTCCTGCACGCCCCCCAGTGGGGATCGAGCCCGAAACCCAGGCATGTGCCCTGACAGGGAATTGAACTGTGACCTCCTGGTTCATAGGTTGACACTCAACCACTGAGCCATGCCGGCTGGGCAGCAATCCTTAAAATGTATGTTGTTTATTTTCTCCGAGGTAGGGCTCTGGCTCGCCTCACTCTGGCTGACCATGTAATTGCGATAATGAAGTAAAAACAACGAAGCTTTGACCGACATTGAGGATGAGAGGAGCCGAGACAGGAATGGAGGACCAGGAAGCGTGCTAAGGAAATGCATATTTAATAGATGGAAAGAAATGGAGATCTCTGTACTGAGACGTTTCACTGTTACTAAAGATGGAACAGGATTAGAAAGCCACACATATAAACATTCAGCACTGCTGTGTGTGAAGCACTGCTTACCACGGAGAGACGTATGGCAGTCCTTGTTCCGGGGCGCGGTGCGTGATGAAGTCCTGGGTTACGCTCTTTTGTGGCCATTAAGTAGCCCTCATCCTTGGTGTTACTCTTTCTAAGATCAGGATTTAGCTAGTAAATTTATGCTGTGGCCCAGCTGGCGTGGCTCAGTGGTTGAGCGTTGACCGACCTATATGAACCAGGAGGTCACCGTTCAATTTCCGGTTAGGGAACATGCCTGGGTTGCGGGCTCCATCCCCAGTGGGGGCGTGCAGGAGGCAGCTGATCAGTGAGTCTCTCTCATCATTGATGTTTCTCTCTCTCTCCCTCCCTTCCTCTCTGAAATCAATAAAAATATATTTAAAAAAACTTATGCTGTGAATATTCCCAACATAGTGGGAAACAGTACATGGAAGCCTGGTCCCTTCTGAGGCGGCAGGGACTGTCTCCAGGCGTGAGGAGCAGCACAGTCACCGTGTGTATAATTGAGGTGGTTTTAATACAAGTTCTAGCGGAAATAGAAACGTGGTCGAGGTGCTGCTACTCCATCCTACGGGCAGAATAATGCTGTTCTTTATGAAATAAAAGAGAAACGCAAAAGCGGGCCTTGCTGGTGTCTCAGAAAAGGGGCTTTGAGATTAGCCTCGTATTATCAGAATAACTTTAACATGATGACCATGAAATGCTGACTTGTGATCAACATTTATGTATTAGTGATTATTGCATTTAAAAATAAAGACAAACACGAAGAGAAAATTTAAAAATACAGAAGTCCCTCATGACTCTGCTGCCCAAGTGGCTTAGCCACTGTTTGTATCCTCACTTTCAGTTGCTCAGGTTGTAGTCACAGTTGTGCAGACAGTTGTGAATCTGCGTTTAGAAACTCCGCGCCTCGTGTTGGTGCAGAGCCCGCCTGCGGAGGTGGGCTTCCGAGCAGGCCTGCTGGGGGCGGTCGTCGGGACTGGGCTTGTTGGCTCGTGTGCCGAGTGGGAGCGTGAGCTGGGTTGCGGGTGTTTGGTCCCTGCCTCGTGGAGTTGTTGTGGCTTTTCTGGAGCTGATGACGATCTCATTGCGTGGGCCTTGACGAATAGACCTCTTTTTTGTATGAATGAGGTAAAACTATTTCCATATGGCTTGATTGCAATGGGAAGGAAAGTAAGCTGAGAAGGAAAGGTTTATACTTTTGTCTGAATTACATCCTAAATCTCAGTCTGATTTTTTTTATGTAGATGTGCTTGTTAAATATCTTCCATCAACAGATAAGCAGATGAACAAAAAGATTTCCATTTTAAAGGATCATGATTTTATAGAGTAAGTGTTCCTCTCTCTCAAAATTGTTCCATCGGGAAATTGTGATGAGAAAATGGAGGTTAGGGTTCTGTAGGGATGAGACACCTTCTGACTCTCACCAGCTGGCAGGTAGGTGTTTATCGAGCACTTACTCTGCAGTGAGCGGTGCTTGGTGTCGTGGGCACACGGGAGTGTAAGATACTTCCCCAGAAAGCTTTTCAGGGACGTAGAGGCCAGCTTGGACAGGAAATCATGGTGCCAGAAGGGAGCCTGGATGAGTTGGTTGTGGCCCAGGTTGCGTTGGTCTCTGAATGGGGTACGGTGGGTGGCATCGGCTGGTGGAGGCCAGGCTGGCCCTCCCTGACCACGGCGTGGGCTCTGGGGAGGGGGGTGGCTGGTGACTTCACACCCAAGGGGAGAAGAGGGTCAGGGCTCTCCCTTCGGTGATGAAGTGCAGTTGTGAGTGACCCAGCTCCGTCCCAGGCCGGTCGCGCTGTGGTGCTGCCGCTAGTTTAACCCCCAGACCACCCAGAGGCGTCAGCTCCGTCTCCCTGTGACGCCGTGACTGCCGCTGGACCTCCTCCAGCTTCAGCTTCTGACCCAAGTGCATTGGAAAATGGCTTGCATTTTTTTTTTTTAACATGAGAGATTTTCCTGTTACTCAGGCTTTATCATTAGGTATTTGAAGACTTACTTTCCTTTTGTCTTTCTGACCAAGACCGCAGGCTCCATAACGTTTAGTGGCCGCTTTAGAGAAACTGCTTTAGCCCTGGTCCCGAAGTACTAGTGACAGCTTGTCCTGTCCCCCCTCGCAGAAACCTGACGTTCGGATGGGACGGGCCGTCCTGGAGGCTGCTCACGGCCCTGAAGCTGCTGTGTCTGGAGGCTGGAGAGTTGTGAGTGCACGTGGGCGGTCAGGCTGTAGCTCTGGGATGCCATCGTGGGCGGGCTGCGTGCTCTTGATGCCACTCACCCGCCGGCTGGGTGTTTCTCTCCTTAGTTTTCCGGGTTCTGTTTGAGCATCACAGTCAGCGCGTGTGGTTTGGAGAACTTCTAGTCTCTCCTCAGAGGTTCCCCCTGGAACCTGCAGCTCCTTGTTCAGAAGTGTGGGCACAGGCACTGCCCAGAGGGGAGTCTGAGTGGGTGGTTTTCCCGGAGCCAACAGAGCTCCTGCCCCCCCCTCCCCTGTTCTGCCCTAGGAGCAGATCCAGGGAGAGGCCTGGGCGTTTTCATGGGGGAGGAGGCAGGGGAGCCCCTGGTGTAACATGGGTCCTGGTCAGGCTTTTGGTCCCCCCCACCCGCCGGAAAGGACCGAGGGCTCCCGTGGTGTGTGCTGTGCTGCCTGGCCCGGAGCTCCTGCAGCCGGTGCTGGTCTGGTCAGAGCCAGAGCAGAGAAGCCGCGTGCAGGGAGGACTTCCTGAAGGGTGAAGCATCCCTGAGTGGTTGGGAGGGTTCTGTGAGATAGCTCAGCGCCCAGAAGTGGTGGTGCTGGCTCAGTGGGGCCTCTGATGTTTTGGTTCTGCATTTCTTTTTTTAAAATTTATTTTATTGATTTTTTACCGAGAGGAAGGGAGAAGGATAGAGAGTTAGAAACATCGATGAGAGAGAAACATCGATCAGCTGCCTCCTGCACACCTCCTACTGGGGATGTGCCCGCAACCAAGGTACATGCCCTTGACCGGAATCGAACCTGGGACCCTTCAGTTCGCAGGTCAACGCTCTATCCATTGAGCCAAACTGGTCAGGGCTGGTTCTGCATTTCTAAGCGCCTTCTGTTTACTTGCACTCGGATGTTGCCGCAGGCCCAGTCACCGTGCCTTTCGCCGTCCAAGCCACTTCCTCTGCAGATTCTGTACGCCCAGCATCTGTTCCTCCACCCTCCTCCCATTAGTGCTTCTTCCAGGCGCTGCCACCTTCGGCTCAGGATCCTGCTGTGGCTCCCTCTTTAAAAATAAATGTTCTTACTGATTTCAGAGAGAGGAGGGGAGGGAGAGAGACAGAAGCATAAGCGATGAGAGAGACTCACCAATCTGCTGCCTCCCGGACTCCCGCACGCCCCTCACTGGGGATCAAGCCCACTACCCCCGGCATGTGCCCTGACTGGGAATCGAACCGTGACCTCCTTGGTTCATGGGTCGACGCTCACCCACTGAGCCACGCCAGCCGGGCTGCTCTTGCTCCCTCTTGCCTACCCTCAGACATGTATCCTACCTGCCGGCCCACTGCGCACGACCCAGGGTCGCGCGGTAATGAGTGCCAGGCTCGCTTCCTGTTCTCGCCGTGCCTTCTTGTGAACCTCGTCCGTTTCAGCACAGGAGGAGCATGGGCGGGAGCGTGGGGAGTCCCTGTTGGGGGTTTATGAGAGGAATCCACTGTGGGACGGGCTTCGTGATGCTTCTGGAAACAGGAGAGGGCTGTGTGTGTTGTTTAGGTGTAAAAGTCGTCTTTACTTTTTGAGACCCTGCTGAAATGATCTTATTAAACATTTTGGTTCTAGTCCTCGCTGGAAAAAAGTCCTTCTTGGGGAGAGAATTTCAGATACAAATGAGAAGATGAGTTTGGACATCGCCCAGAAAATATGCCGTTATTTCACAGAGGAGGCTAGTGCTATGCTTCAAAAGGTATGTTTCTATAATTTTGCATCTCTTTTTAATGTATTTTTTTTATTGATTTCAGAGAGGAAGGGAGAGGAAGAGAGAGGTAGAAACATCAATGATGAGAGGGAATCATTGACTGGCTGCCTCCTGCTCGTTGGACCAAGCCCGCACCCCAGGCATGTGCCCTTGACTGGAATTGAACCTGGGACCCTTCTGTCCGCAGGCTAATGCTCTCTCTGCTGAGCCAAACCTGCTAGGGCTTGCATCTTTTTCTTAAAGAAGTGTTTTGATTAAGAAGTGACTTGTTTTGGGCATGTTGGATAGGGATGGTACACCTTCTTTGAGTGTTGCTTAATGTGACCCCTGTGAAAGGGTCGTTCGACCCCCAAAGGGGTCTTGACCCACAGGATGAGAACTGCTGCGTTAAATGCATGAACATTGATGTAATCTGTTTTTTGACTGTTAACATTCTGTCTGCACCTTTTAATAGGTAAAATTATCGCATGAATTCTTGGTAATAGATTTTTAAGTACTCTTTTCCTTTTATTTTTATTTAGTAACTATTTTATTTTATTTTATTTATTTATTTTTTAAAATATATTTTATTGATTTTTACAGAGAGGAAGGGAGAGGGATAGAGAGTTAGAAACATTGATGAGAGAGAAACATCGATCAGCTGCCTCCTGCACACCTCCTACTGGGGATGTGCCCGCAACCAAGGTACATGCCCTTGACTGGAATCGAACCTGGGACCCTTCAGCCCGCAGGCCGACGCTCTATCCACTGAGCCAAACCGGTCAGGGCTAGTAACTATTTTAATTAAATGAGAAAATAGCTGCTCTAGTCGGTTTTGCTCAGTGGATAGAGTGTTGGCCTGTGAACTCAAGGGTCCTGGGTTCGATTCTGGTCAGGGCACATGCCTGGGTTGTGGGCTTGATCCCCAGTGTGGGGCGTGTAGGAGGCAGCCAGTCAGTGATTCTCTCTCATCATTGATGTTTCTATCTCTCTCCCCCTCTCTCTTCCTCTCTGAAATCAATAAAAAAATAAAAATAAAGAACACCTCATTTGAATAAAAACATAACTGGGATTTAAAATATTTTAATGAACTTTGAAGGCAAAGGAAAAAAACCACATAGTCATATCAATTGATGCAGAAAAAGCATTTGACAAAATTCAACACCCATTTTTGATAAAATATTTTAATGAACTTTGAAGGCAACATTGTGCTAAGTGGAATAAACCCGAATGCAGAAGACAAACTGCGCGGCTCCCCCTCTGGGAGGATCTGGGACAGGCAGGGGCATAGAGACCGACCGTGGAGGATGCCAGGGCTGGGGAGGTTGTGTTTAATGGGGACAGTGTCTGGTGATGATTACATAACATTGTGGAAATTCTAAATACCACTGTTTGTACATTTAAAAGTGCTCAAAATGGTAAATGTTATGTATGTTTTATTATATTAAAAAGTTTAAAAATAACTTCCAGGTTTCTCACATGAAAGATAAAGAAATGGCGTTGATACACCAGCTCACTTTGGTGGAAACGTTGTGGACAGAAGAGCTGAAGATCCTCCGGGCATCTGCCGAGACCCTGAGCGGTTTGCAGGCCGCTGTTCGAGACTCACCCACGTGCCTCCGATGGCCTCCCCTGCTGGGTGTCGCCCCCTCTGCGGGGTGTGACGCCTGAAACACTGTACACTAAGGTTCGTTTTACCCTGAATCCTTTTTAGATCTTGGCTCTGGATTTATACTGTTCACAGCGTTTTTACGCCTGTTAACATTCAGGACAAGGGGGCGGGTGTCAGAGCAGAAATCATTCCACAGAAGCCAAGAGCTGCTGCTTAGAAACACTGGACATTGTCGAAGCACAACACGATGCGGTGTTCCCTTCCGGAGCCTCTGGGTGCAGGACGAGCTGCTTCCACTTCTCCCAGCTGAACATTCCGGGTCTCCAAGGGCCACAGCGACCGGGGTTGTGGGAGGCAGGAGAGGGAGTACTACCAGTCGCCGCCCGTCATCTTTAAATGCAGCAGCCCATGCTGCGTACAGGTTAATCCCAAGCTCAAGTGCACGAGTCCTCGGCTCAGCCGGTCAGTGCCACGTGAGCGGCAGAACACACGGTGCTCAGCACTCGGTGCACGTCTCGGCCTCCTGTGAGAACAAGCCCCACTCGCCCCGTCCAGGTGTCTGAGGAGCAGAGCTGAGTCGGGCTCAGCAGTGAGCTGGAGACGCTTCCCTCTTCGTCCACTGGGTGGCGCGAGAGGACCGCCGAGCCGGAAGGCTGGCTCCTCAAAAGCAGGCAGTTGGGATCTGGACAAAGCAAAGCGACTGTGCTCCTGGGACAGAACGCTGGTGTCCCTGCTCTCCTGGGGGCCTTGGCCTCCTTGGGTGAGAACAGGCAGCTACACAGCAGTTCAGGGCGAAGGGGCCTGGCCAGGTGTGGGGCTCAGAGGTGAGGGTGGGGGGGCAGGTGATAAGATGCAGGACTGCCTGTCAGCCTACGACAGCCATAGGAAATGTCAGTATGTGGCACTTTTTCTTGAGCAGAAGAGAATGCCTCATCGCAGGGAGCAGGTTTTAGTTCCATGTCTTCGAGAGCAGGCAGACAGGTCCTGGCCAGGCAAACAGGAAGGCTCACTTCCAAGGGTGTAAACTGAGCCCCCACCCAGAAGGGGGTCTGCTCCTGTGATGGCTTCTGCCAGGTGTGTCTGGAGCCGGGAAGGAGCCTTCCTCTGACGGGCTGGCCGTCCGTCCTTAAAGGCGTGCGTTTGACGTGAGGACAGAGCCTCAAGGTCGAGTGGAGTGTGCTCGGTGTCCTTGGACTCCAGCATCCATGTTGACTGATAGGCTCCGATCCCAACCGGCTGGTGACAGGCGTGAGGTGGCCCCGCACATCACTCGTTTGAAATGATCTCTTGGGTCTGCTGGGCCGTCCCAGGGCCCCGTTGTCTGTCCTCAGGTGGAGACTCGCTCACCTTGCAGGTCCTTGGACCCTCTGCACCACCTCTCCGTGGATGCACATCCCGGCCCCGCCTCGAGCGGGCGGCATTCCATGCAGAGCGCCTGCAGGGCCTGGCGAGGCCCCTGCTGCAGGTTTGAAGGTTCCCCTGGAACTGGACGCGGAGAGAGACCCACACGTGGCCGTCGGTCTGATTGGAGTTGCCTGACGGTGGCGGCTGTTTGTCTGGAAGCGATCTTGCTGAGGAGGTCAGGTGGGGGCCAGGCGCTGTTTCTGATGTGGTTTAATGTGCAGGTGAGGCTGGGAGCCATGGCTCACGTGGGCTCGACAGAAACTGTGAGAGGAAGGATTCTGTCTCCATTCGGGAGCAGGAGCAGCGTCCTGGCAGGGCCATGGTAGCCCATCTTCTTCCTTTATAATCTGTAGTGGCAGGAGCCCCCGGAGCTCACCTACAACCTGCTCCCCACGGTGGTCTGCAGCCAGCAGCGCCCGCGCCCCGGGAGCTCGCCTGTTAGAAAGGAGACTCACACCCTGGGCCTGACGCGTCCGAGTCTGCGCAGTGACGGACGTCAGAAACGCTGCCTCAGGCCAGCTCTCCAGCATCTCCAGGGCCCGCGTGGGTGCGGGGCCAGCTCGGTGCCAGGCTGTGCCATCCATGCATGGAGTCCTCCTCGCCGGGCACCGTTCTCTCGATGGATGGGGAAAGCCCGGCTCGGGCCAGGGGGCGAAGTCTCTGCCGCAGACATCAGAGCCCGGGCCGAGCGCGGATGGGGCCAGGGGCTTGCACCGAAGCATCTCTGCGTAGACACCTTTGCAGCAGACATTTCCGCGCAGACATTTCTGCCTCATAACTAATGGGCTGTGAGGCATTTCTGCCGTAAGAGAGAGAGAATGACTGGCTGGCAGGTTTGTTGTTTGGCTTTATTTCTCTATTGACGAAGCAGTCAGGTGCCGTAAAAATAAAAATAACTGGTGGCGATTTGCTTTTCTTGTTTTGCTTCATTTCTCCATGGATGAGGTTCTCACAGTCGCTCCTGTTTTAGGTTAGGTCACGTGTAGCTCTCAGCCAGCCCTTAGCATCGTTGGCACTTCTCCCCGATGACCATGACTCCCCCAGGAGTTGTGTTCTCATCCTGCAAGAGGACACGGGGAGGAGAAAGCAAGGCCAGGCCCCCGAGGGCAGAGGCAGGCCCACGGCTCCCACGGAAGGAGAAAGTGCTTCGGCGCCGTCCACAGAACAGAGTCTGCTGTTTGTGCGGTGTTGCCATGACTACAGTTTAAATGTAGTGACATAGTCTGCATCTCACAGGAAACTTTTGAATTTTGTTTTTCACCTTTTCACGTTTCATTATGCCCTTCCAAATGTCCCTCTTTTTTTATTTATTTATTTGTTTATTTATTTATTATTTTATTTTATTTCTTTTCTTTTTTTTTTATTGCTTAAAGTATTACAAATGTCTCCTTTTTCCCCCAGCCCTTGACAATCCCCTGGCCTCCCCTACCCCCCAGTGTCTATGTCCCTCTTTTATATATCGTGATTTTACCTTTTTAATGGTAAAAGGTAACTAGTTATGTGGCGAGGATGTTTGCTGCAGGGATGCTGTGGCCACGGTTTGGGCCAGAGCATGTGGTGGGACGGACTTCTCCCGGCCCATTTCTGGCTGCCTGGGGTTCTGGGACAGGAAGGCCTAGCGGAGGAGGACACGCGGGGGGCTGGGGCGTGGGGAGGACCGGGCAGTGCCCTCTGCGCTGGCTGTGCCTGTTTTGTCCTGTGCTTCGGTCCCCGCAGCCGGCTCTGACGTGCTGCAGGCTCGCAGGTGGATGGAGCCGGCGGGGCTGCCGGCAGTCTGGGGTCTGGGGGTGATTTCACGTCATTGTTGGCGCCCATTAGTTCAGATTTGTGCAGAATGACGGAGCAGCCCCCGTGCCCTTCCTTTCTTTATTGCGTGTTTTCTTTGTGAGGGGAATAAAGAGCCGACTGCCTTTTAAGGGACAGGAACACTGAGTTTTGTCTTCCCATCCCATTACTGTCAAACAAGTCACCTGAGAACTCAGGTCACATGGTCCGGCTTGCAGAGTGCGGCGCTCCCGAGAGGACGGCTCACAGGGGTTCCCAGCAGACCGAGAAGAATGCCTTTTATCATGTTCTGCTTTCTACCTCCCACTGTTCTATTTCCCTTCCAGCATCACTCAGGCCCAGATGGTATTTGTCAGGAGTAATTGGCGAGCGCCGGAGGCTGTGTTCAGTCTGCTTGAATGGAAAATCTCAAAGCGGTTGTCATGTTGAAAGAAAATACTACATTTGATCTTTTTTTATGATTTCTGCAGACATGGTGCGTGTCTGCATTTTTAGCCTCATGGCCCCTGTACATTTGGGGGAAACGCCCTGCAGGAAGTAGCACTTCGCAGTTCATTCACCTTCTGCGGAGAAGTAACCCCCGCACATGGGGAGTCACTTAGAAACCATGATTTATTTCCACTAGGGGCTCAGGAGCCGCTGGCACACAGGTTGCTGGACACCCACTCAGGACGTAGGGCTTCGTGTCTCGTGTCTGTTCCTGCGAGGATGTTTATTCTTCTGGATGGAACGGTGCCTGAGGGCGGTGGCGGCCATCCTCCAGCCCTGCGCCGGCCGGCCTCTCGCTGCCCCTTTCCGGGAAGGACGTCGGGCCCGCGGGGGAGACTCCTGGTCAGAGAGCAGAGCGGCGAGACCGAGAGCGAGGCCGGGCATGCAGACGGCCTCTCAGACGGTCCCCAGCACGGGGCACAGGACACAGTGTGGAGGCTTTCCAAGGGCACACAACCCCATCGCAGGCACCTTCCTCCATGTTCCCATGTGTATCCACACACACCCTGAGGAGTGCCCTCGCCGCCACAGGCCGCAGAGCCGTGGGATGGACGCACCACCTCTCGTCTAGAGCGCTGAGCTGCTAAGTCATGAGTCATGAGTCACCACCGTGTTGTAGAAAACTCTAGATTGGGGGTCAGCAAACTAGCCACTCCCTGTATTTCTAAATAAAGTTTTTTAAAAATGGGAACTTTTTTATTGTGGTAAAATATGCATAACATAGAATTTGCCATTTAAACCATTTTAAATGTACAATTCAGTGGCATTGAGGATCATGTTGTGTAACCATCACCATTTCCAAAACTTCCATGGCCCCAAACAGAAATTCTTTACCCATTAAATGGTAACTCCCCAGCCCCCTCTCCCCCAGTACCCGCTAACCTCTAATCTATCGTGTCTCTGTAACTTGTCTGTTCTCAATATTTCATGTAAGTGGAATCATGTAACATTTGCCCTTTTGTGTCTGGCCTGTTTCACTTAGCACAGCTTCTGAGGTCCAATCACGTAGCAGGTGCCAGGACTCCCTTTTTTATGGCTAATACTCCACTGTATGTAAGGGCCACATTTCTTTTTTCTTCTTAAATATATATTTTTATTGATTTCAGAGAGGAAGAGAGAGGGGGAGAGAGAGAGAGAGAAACATCAATGATGAGAGAGAATCATTGATCGGCTGCCTCCTGCACGCCCCCTCCTGGGATTGAGCCTGCAACCTGGGCATGTGCCCTTGAGGGGAGTCGAACCTGGGACCCTTCAGTCCACAGTCTGACACTCTATCCACTGAGCCAACCCAGCTAGGGCCACATTTCTTCCTTTTTTTTTTTATTTTTAAAATGTATTTTATTGGTTTTTCACAGAGAGGAAGGGAGAGGGATAGAGAGTTAGAAACATCGATGAGAGAGAAACATCGATCAGCTGCCTCCTGCACACTCCCTACTGGGGATGTGCCCACAACCCAGGTACATGCCCGTGACCGGAATCGAACCCGGGACCCTTCAGTCTGCAGGCAGATGCTCTAGCCACTGAGCCAAACCGGTTAGGGCACACATTTCTTTTTTGAGGAGGACATTTTCCTCTAGCCTCTTGGGTTCAGTGGCTGGGGCCTGTGAATTAAACCAACAAAAGATAGATCAACAGGAGTAAAGATTTATTTTGCGTGTACATAGGGGCTACACAGAAAAGCAATGAAAAAGCCAAGAAGTAGTTAGGGTTAAGAGCTTATGTACCATTTTAAAAAAGGGCAGTAAGTTGTAGAGAAGTGACTAGACAAAGGAGGAGAGATTTGGGCTTCCCGGGGGAAGGTAAATTGCGGGAAGCTAATGGAGGATAAGGGCTGTTTAGTAACGTTCGTTACGCCGACTCCAGTTGGCAGGCCCCGTGACAGGAGTCCGGTGATTCAGACTTGTCTCTTCCTGGCATGAGGGGCGGGGGGTGGGGATGGGGGGGAACCTTTCCAAATGGAAACCTACGCTCGGGTTTTTGGCGGAAAGGAGGGTGGAGAGTTTCTCCTGCACCTGCTGTTTCTCAGGCGCCTTCAGCGGAGGAGCCCGTACGCCAACGTGGCCCCTTTTGGGGCAGCCTTTTCTGACCCCGTTCACACGGTTCAGCCCAGTGCGGCACGTAGGGGATGACACGCACATCCAAGCTGTAGAGATGTGTGTGCATCTGGCACAACGACAGCCCGGCGTGGACTCAGAGTTTCAGAAAATATCAACAAATGTGGGGAAATGAGGCAAATGACACTATGCTTTTTTTGGGCGACTTTATAAAACAGCCACGTGTTGGGTAAAGCAGCCACGAAAGACCTCAGAAACCCGTCACTCTATAGGCAAAAACATCATGTTGCTGATGTAATTATTGAGACTTACTTTTTCAATGTGTTTTAAGGAATAGGTTATATTTAAAAGGGGTGTTGATTTTGTTCTGTATCCCAAGGATAACGAAGCAAGCATGCACTATAATAAATACGTTTAAATAAACATGATTTTTGCTAAAAATCACAACAAATGGAATTCACTGATTTTCTTTTTTTTATTTTATTTTATTTTTTTTTATTGCTTAAAGTATTACAAAGGGTATTACATATGTGTCCTTTTTTTCCCCGCCCTTGACAATCCCCTGTCCTCCCCTAACCCCCAGTGTCTTATGTCCATTGGTTTTGCTTATATGCAT